AGAGAGAGAGAGAGAGAGAGAGAGAGAGAGAGAGAGAGAGAGAGAGAGACCCTGCTGAGCCCATCAGGAGGCCCCAAGAAGCCCCAAACAGCTTCTCCTCCTGGAGAGAAACACTCTGTGGGGTCCTCACACATCAGGATGCCTTCGAAGGCAGTGGTGCTCCTGGCCCCTCTGCACTGTCCTCTGAAATCTTCATGGCTGTGCTGAGCTGGCACTACCAGGCCCCTTTCTGGACCAGACCAGGATCTTCCATCAGCAAGACAAGCTCCGTTCCAAGGTGCCCCACTCAAGGCATGGATCCCTACTTTGGAAGAACTTTACAGGGGCCCCACAGAAACCACCCCTGTGACCTGCAGCCCAGCTCTTTCAGTCTGATCCACCTTCCTCGAACTCCCCTTCAAGCCTTACTTTCAAAACCTTCCAAATGTGACAACATTCCTCAGATAGAAACATCTGCAAGGTCCTGCATAGAAAGTGTTGACTCCTATAGCCTGGAAATAGATGATCATTTTTTTTCTTTTCCTTAGCAGCTTTTACAGAACCTGAAAAGTCCTAGGACGTTTAAGATGGATTGACAAGATTGAAAATAAAAAACCTATTTTTGCAAGATGCCCACAGCTCTGCTTACCTCTGCTTACCCCAGCGCAGAGTTTTCCGAACGAGCACCTGCTGCAGATCCCTCCCCTCTGGTGGGCCTTGCGCCCCAGCTTTGTCACATTATCACACAGAAATAGCTCTGGTTGTGGTCTTTAAAAATTGTTGGCACACAAGAAACAGCAAGACCTCAGAATATTGAAAAGACACAGCAAGAGAGATGAAAATAAAACTAAGATAACAACACTATTCCTGTGACTGCCAAAAGCAAAACGAAATGCTCAGAGACAAAGGTTTTCCAGCTGCATGCTGGGAGCCCAAGCAGCCCCCACGGAGCTCTTCGGGCTCCTCAAGACAAAGACCCAGCCTTACCTCTAACCACAACTGCTTTCTCCTTGCCTTATAAACAGGATTTAGACAGATTTTGTTGGAACAAAGCATTTTAGGGTTGAGGTAATTTTTAAACCACTGATCTAGGAGACTGAAGGCGCCTTAGAGCTACAACTGCCCAAAAGGACTCACCTTTCTCTATACGGCCTGAAGTCTGCAAGGGTAATGGGGAGTCCATCCTGCAGGATGTAAGGCTCCTGATCCTGTCTTTTTTTTTTTCCGGAACCAGGGATTGAACTCAGGCCTTTGCACTTGCAAGGCAAGCACTTATTCTACTGAGCCACCTCCCTGGCCCCTCCTGATCCTTTCTGCAGGCCCAGCTCTCTGTGGCAATGCCTTCTGATGTCAGTCTCCATGTCCTACCTTTGCCTAAGTTCAGACTTCCAGAAACTTCTGTTAATCCACCCAGACCTACCCACTCCTTCTCCAGGAGGCTTCTGGAATCTCTACTGGCTGAATTATATCAGCAAGAGGAGCCCTGACCTCACCTGTGTCCCTCTGCCCTGCTTCCCCTACACTGTTAGGTGCCTTTAATGTTTGTCATCCTGGTAGAGAAGAGGACCTCCAATTCAATGCTGCCTTCCCAGGGGCTAATTCAGAGCCTGCCACATGGATGATCAAAAACATGTACTCTATTTTCGGCTCCTGTGCGTGTGGTGGATAATGGAATTCAGCTGCACACCTGCAGCCCAGTTCCCAGAATACATTTGGGATGGCCAAGAATGTGACGGTGGGGGCTGGGGAAGATAACTCACCTTAAATTTCATCTTCAGGTTAAAAAAAAATATGTGATCTATTCAAGTCAAGAAGCATTGTTTAAATGTAAACATGCATTCTCAGTGTCTGGGAGCAGAGTTAGATGAAATTCCCCAAGTGATCTCTTAATACCACCAAAATTGCACTCAAATGCCTCTGCCAGGCAAAGATAAATTGCCACTTGCACAATGGTCTTGCACTTTAAAGTAACTCGGTCCGGAAAGCTTTGAAAATTTATTACAACAGGGGAAAGGGAAAACTTAAAGCAGTTTGAGATATTTAGTCTGCTGATAAGACGGCTTAGGAAGGACAATAATTATCTGCAAGAATTTGAAGGGTCATTAAAAGGGTGCAAGCCGACAGGGCACCATTAACCCAGATGTCAGAAAGTAACTTACATGACACCAAAATGAGTTAGAGTCACAATCTCAGAAAGTCAATAGTGAAGAAGAAGATCCTCACTACACAAAGGAAGTATCAGATAGGAGCTTACTAGACGCGTAGACCTGTGAGCGACCTGCAGCAGCCAAACCAGAGCTATCCCTTAACCAGCCAGTCCCTGGGGCTTGTTTGTACATTCAGGTCTAGGAAGCACAGTCCATACTTTAAACAGGTAAAGAAACAGAAGAGCACAGGAACCAGAGAACCTGCTCAAGCAATGGCAGCTGGTCCAGGGGGAGAGCACAGTAACAGCGGCTGTCACTTTTCACCCAGTCTCCAAGGGACACTCCAGTGGCTCCCCCCCTTTCCTGACTGGCTGGCCACAGAAAGAAAGCCTGTGTCCTGTGCTCAAAGCTACAGCACCATCCACAGTCCCATGGGCTGGGTCTGTGTCTTCCAGCTATGTAGACTCAGGCCAGAAGCATGAACCCCAGTGCCGACAGGGCCCCAGGCAACAAGCAAAGGAGGCTAGAAGCCCTTCTCCTACATGCAGCCTAGAAGTGGAGAGAGCAGTGGGTGCTCTCCATGCTGGAATCACTGGGCTGTGGACCCACCTTCCCATAGCAGACAACACCCAATGGAAGATAGCTGTGGAAAAGAGCAATCTAGAGTTTTCAAAAGCTATTGTCTGGTCTGCACACTTTAAACTCCAGTTGTACCTAAACCCAGCTGCTCTTGCGCAAGACTCAGAGCTCAGCTATTTCCCAATGCAAGGAGACAGGTTGTCCAGGCTGCAGAAGGGCCCTGCATGAGAGGCCCTCAGCCAGGAGGGAAGCAGCATGGGATGGGAAGGGTGCTTTCCAGCTGCTGGAGCCACAGAGCCAGAGCTGGGCCCTGGGAAATACCAGGAACAGGGGTGCCACACTCCCTCTGGGTGCTCATTGTGCTTCCTGACACCCCAGGATCTAGGTGGGCAGCAAATGTATATTTGATGGCATTTCTCTGTATGTCGTCTCCCTTCCAAAGACCCCAGCTAGAACAAAACCTGCCACAGGGCAGACTGAGAAAAAGTGGGGCTGTGAGACCTATCGGAGAGGGAGGTCCAAGAGAGTAGGGAGTAGCTGCACAGAGAGATGCAGACATCAGGAAGCCACCAGAATAGCCATCATGCTTCCCAAATGTGCAGAGTCCACATTCACCAGACTTTCGGGAGCAGAGCCATAGACTCAACTGAACAGCTGGCAACACAGTAAAAGAGACTGAGGCAAAGAGAAGTCTCCCCCAGAAGCCATGACCATTCCTACTCCCAACCTCCCACCAATCCAACCAGAAAACGAAATACAGATCTGATCCTTTGCAAGTCACTGTTCAAAGGAGACTGAAACTGCCAGCATAACACGATTTTTAAAAAATAAAGCATTAAGGAGACAGCTGATGCATAGCCCAATCAGACCAAACACCTGGACGTTGGCCGCCATGTACAGTGTCTCCCAGACTTTTCAGAGATAGGAGATCTTGTGGATGCAGCCCACGAGCATAACTTTATTCCCTTTTAGGAACCCACCTTACATGCTTGCGTTTCTCTCTTGAGCTATAACTGTGAAAGCAAAATGCATTCAATCCATCAAGCAGTGCTGCTCTGCCAATACCACAGAAGGAACTAAAAGGGAGTCATTGCCACAGCAGGCTTCAAAGGGGGCTGAGAATGACAGAGCTCAGCCTTTTCATGCTGCTGGCCGTCCTCACTGAATGCCACTCCTGACATTTGATCTGTCTGTCCTGGGGACTCAATACTACCGCAACTGACTAGCTGTCACAGGACCCACGCAGAGCTGCTTTCTTCTGCTCCACACTTCCTCCCCGCATGGGCCCTGCCCTCCAAAACTGGTCTACGCTTCAATCATTTTCTTACCAGAAAGCCTTGAGGCTGGAAACTGGAATCTGCGTGGACTTCAGCTCAGCCATGGGCCCAGATCCTCCTCCTGCTCTAGTCACGTCACCAGTAGATGAAAGCCCCAGAAATGCCCCAGAATCAAATCATCCTTCAGTTCAGCTTCCAGAGGGAGGAAGCAAAGAGTCCTTCTGACCTATTAAGGGGAAAAAGAATGAAAAGCTAAGGCTACAGCATGTGAGACTAGCAGAAATACACATATGTGAAAATATACTATTGGAGAAAAACAGCTAACTAGAAGACTGAGTCCTTTATAATTGCACTATCCCAGCTTCCATGGTGTCACTTACTAAATTTCTACAGACAGAACTCTCCAATGTAGACCTCTAGAGGACTTCTGTGATCACGTGTGCTGTTCAGGATTTCATGCTTTGGCTAGACTCAACATAAAGTGTTGTACTTCTTGCAGGATAGTGGCCACTCTGAGATCTCCCAGATGCCCCTGCCTGGTATGTTAACTCACACTTCATCCTAGAGAACTGAGCTCTGGCAGCTGCTCTGTAATGACTCTCATGAACACCTCATCCCCAGCCAGACAAGGAAGTCTCCTGAAATGCCTTCTTCTAAGAGAAAGATCCTGAACAATCCACTGAATGTGAGGGCTGTGATAACACTTTGAAAGCGACTTACTTTGTTCCCTCCAAGTGGTACAAGCAGGAAAGACAGCTGACTGATGTGTTGCTCATAAAAATCCTTTCATTATCTTGAAGTGTGAATGTTGTTGGCATTGTGATCAATTTCAGCCTTTTCACCACCCCATCAACAGGTTCTTGAATGTGAACTTTGGTAGAGACGAAGATGGAATCCCTACTGAAGAGTGAGCAGGTTAGAAGAGAGGGCAGAGGGCTGGCAGCCCAGTTCTGGAGAAATTACACAGCTGCCTTTAAAAGACACCCCCTAGCAGCCTGGCTGCAAGAGATGGCTCGGCGCTTAGCACTGGGTTCACAGCCTTGCAGTGTGCCCATGAATTCTCCCTGCAGAGGTACAAGGTGGGCCATCCTATCCCATCTTATTCACACAGACGCAGGCCCAAGAGTTTAACTGACATTTTTTCTTCCTCTGTTCAGGCCTGCCTCAATCACACACAGAACTTGTCCATTGCAGTTTAAAATACAGGATGCACCAGAAGAAAGGTCCCCTCCCATGCTGTTTCTCACCAGAGGGAGTTGTGTCACTTGGTGCACAGATGAACCCGCTCAGGTTTTCTCACTGTTTCCAAGTAACCAACGTGAACAGCTCTACAGGGCCAGCAAGGCGCCTCTGGGAGGTGCTTTAAGAGCATTTTGCACTTTATAGGAAACCATAAGGACCAGAAAACATCATGGTTGCTTTTGCAATTGCATTCAAGCACACAATTGTAAATTCATTCCTTTTGAGTTCTTCTCTGTTTGTGTTATTCACCCTGAAATTAATATATTCCCCTCCCCAACAGCACATTTATTAATCAGTTCAGTAAGACAGAATATATGACCCTATGTCCTACACAGAAACGTCTGGCATCCTTCCACTGCTTGGGTCAGATACTTGAGGCTCACACCTTCAGCAGCCCGAAGGGTTCTTACTGTGTCACAGAAAAGCCCAGGAAAGCCCAGGTGACACCTCAAGGTGCTGCACAGTCTGCTATGGGCTGGGGAGGGAGGACAGAGCACAAGCCACCTCCTGAGTGGTTGATGATGCGTAGGGACCGAATACCGGAATACCGAAGCGCCCGCAGACCGTCGGTCCCTTTCACCATCCCAGCGCTCCAGTGCCCCGCCTCCCGGGGACAGCGAGTGACTCCACAGACCCAAGGCCACAGACCCGCGTGGAGGAAGTGGCTGGGAGCTGTCCATGGTGGCGCAGCGCCTGGCACGCAGAGAGCCGCCGGCTCCCGCCCCGGGCGGGCCGGGAACGCGCTCCAGACCACAGCGGTGGAGAGACTGCCGGGCTCCCCGCTCGCGATGGGGTTGAGCCAGGCTCTGGCGCACACTTCAAATGTTTAGCTTGGAAAGGGATCCCTTACCTGCGCAGCGTTGCTCGGGTCGCAGGACTCAGAGACTCGAGCCTCGGAGCCGGTGGCTGGTGCGCCTCGACCCTCCTCGCCTCGCGCCGGCCCACTACGACGTCGGCTTCGTTCCCCTGGCGGCGAGCTGGATTCCAGCCACGACCCTGGCTGCGCCCCGCTGGGACACTGTCTTTCCGCTTCACCCGAGGCCACCGTCCTGCCAGCGATCTTTAAGTCTCCCCGCGCTGTCTGGCTTAGGGTGGCAGCCTGAGTACCAGCAGGGCCCCTGAGGCCACCGACGTCCTGCGGTGCCCGCGCGGCGCGGGGAGGCGGAGGGGATGCGCGGAGCCCGAGTGGGAGCAGACCTGTTGCAGCCGCGAGCCCGTGAGCACTCGCAGCACCCGGCTGGGCTTGGATGGAAGGACCTGGACCTCCTTCCGAAGGAGATGAGGCAGGCTGGGCCCCTTCCCCGAGGGGTGCGCTCTGCTGGAGACTCGGCGCCCCGATAACTGCCGCTCACATAGGACCCCGGGTTCATGATGACCCGTGAAGGACAGCAGCAGACTCACGGACACAAGGACAGACGGACGGCACGACTCTGGGGTCCAGTAGGAACCGTGCGAGGGACGCGGGACTCCCCACCCGGCCCGGTCACCCAAGCCCTCTTACCTCCCGGCCGGTGGCCAACGTAGTACGGTGCCTCGAAGGAGCAAGCGCAGAGATCGACGTGACAGGTACAGCAGAGTCGGTCTGGATAGTGGGATTCGGACCCCGGCTTCGGTGGCGCCGCGATCCAGCTCCGCTTGCGCTCTCCGAGGCCAGCCAGGACTCGGCTTTTATGGCAGAGCTGTTAACTTGGCCCCGCCTCTGCCCCGCCCCCGACGCCGGGCCGGGAGACCAGCCCTACCCTCGGCTACCGGGAGAGGGCGCTGGAGCCCGAAGGAGGGGAGAACAGCCTGCCTGGGCTGCGGGGTCACAGGAGGCAGGCAGCTTTGAGTCTCAGAATTCTTTTCGTTCTGAACTCATGCCCCCTCAGAGACATAGCTCAGCACTCCTCCGAAAGGAAGATGAGACCATGGTCTGGAACTGGAGTCCGACATGCCAGTGGGCCTCAGGCTTCACATCAGGAGAGTGGGTCTTCCCAGGACTGATAAGAAGATGTTGACCAGCTCAGGGAAGTATGGGCACCGGCCCAAGCAGGCCCTCACGAAGCTGGGGTGCCAGGACTGGGCGCCTCTGCATCAGAGATGTGCCTCCGTTCTCAAGATCAAGGCCAGAAGGAGCAGCTAGTGACTGTCCCAGCTGGGGTAAGAGCACCCTTGAGAAGAGCCAACAATCTGGAGTCCACATGGCCATTATTTTGCTGTTTGACTTCTCAATAACCACTTCCTTTCTGGGCCTCCAGGTGGTTTGGGGTTTTCCCTGGCTTTTTTTTTTTTTTTTTAAACCAGAAATCAAACTCAAGACCTTGTGCTTGTCAGGCAGACACTTGAGCTGCTGAGCTATATCCCTGGCCCTGGTATTTTTGTTTTAACTTGGAAAATGTGGGTTTGGTTACCAGCTATCTTCTGTCCCTCTTCCTGAAGCTTCTCCCAAGCCTGTCTCCAGGTAGCTGCAGGCCCTTGACAGTGTCCTGTAGACACCAGCTCAACCTGAGCCTGGGCAGTGCTCACAGGCTTGGGAACAGATAGATGGGCCTTGGTGACAGCCTGGAAGACTTTGGCCATGTCCTGAGCTGGGTCCCCTCCAGAGCCTGGGAGCGCAGCCCTCACTCCTAGCCCTGTCTGGAAGCTGGGCTTAGTCTTCCTAGAGGGAATGACCAGGAGTCTGCCCTTCCTAGCTTTCCTCAGAAATAACCACAGAGCTCAGGACAGGCTATGTGCCCTGCCTTCCTCTCTAGCTAGGCACTTTGCTCCTCCCCAGAAAAGGTCGCCTGGGCCTCACACCCTTCCTGGCTCCTTTACTTCCTTAGGAAACCCCAGACAGGGGACCCCCGCCCTAGCCTTGCTGAAGGACAGGCAAGGGCCTCCTTTGCTCCAGCAGGGATAGAAGACCACATGCTGTGAGCCTGGAGCTGGGCTTCAGTGCTGAAGACAGACCGGCCCAGGGACAAGGTGGAGACTGAGTCACCCTTCATGCTGCACGTGTCCCCTGGTACTGCAGGCCAGTGCTCTGGAGGAAGGCAATGGCCACAAACTGCAGACAAGCGCCTGTGTAGTCTGTCTGTGCTCAGGACGACCACAAGCTCTTGTGGAGGATGGGTTTGTGGGTCATTCTTTCTGGATGAGTACTAGTGGCCTTACTGCCTACTGGAAGTCCAGAGTCTCACCAGTGTAGACCATAGCTGCTCAGAAAAGGGAGCTGTTAGCTTCCTGGTGCTCCCAAGGATTCCCTGCAAAGACTTCAGAGAAAGATGTGGTTGCCAGGGTGCCACCTGCTGCCAAGAGCTACCCTTCATCTCACCCACTCTCCACTCCCTGCTGTGTGCTATGCAGCACCTGTCTGCTCCCTGTGGCTGCAGGATGTCCAGGTCTGCCTTAGAGGCTGCTGGTCGGATCCCAGCCCACCCCTCACAGCTAGGGTCACCAGGCTCCACGTGCTGATCCGCACAACCAACCCTGTGTTCACAGCAGGAAGCAAGGAGAGCTGTAAAGTAGATGCTGCAAACCTTGCAGTTTGAGGCAGACCAGCAGAAAGGAAGATCTCAAGCATGTCCACCCTGGGAACCTCTGGGAGATCCGTGAGTAAATCCACATTCCACCGATAGGCGTCGCCCTTGCACACAGAGCCAGAGACCGGCACCAACGTTCCAGCCCAAGGTGGGTCTCTGGGCTTGGTCTCGCTTTCCTAGGATGCAGGTGGAGGCACCCAGTGAGGGGAACGCAGGGTGGAGGCCTCCATTTCTCCCGGGGGCAAAGTTCTGCACAGGGCCTTGGAGCAGGCAGTGCTAGGACACAACTCGAGACCTGGGAAGGCGGACCCCTTGGCCTCTGGCTCCTCACACACTGGTCGTCACAGGGCACAGCCTTCCCCTCAGATTTTTGTATCTAAAATATACACTCATGGGGCTGGAGAGATGGCTCAGTGGTCTAAAGCACCTACTTAGAATAAGCTTGGCAAAGCAATCAGGGACCGCGGTTCAATCCCCCAGCACCACATGCCAGCCAGCCCCGCCCCCTGGTGGGCTGAGCTGGCCACACACACACACACACACACACACACACACACACACAATAAATAAATAAATAAACTTATAAAAATAAAAAAATAAAAATAAAAATAAATAAAATATACACTCACTGCGTACATGCACATGACCTTGTGACCTTTCTATGCTATTCCTTCTTATTACAAAAATAGTATGTCTCCTCAAAAAACAGAATATGAACAAAAGAGAAAAGACTTACAAAATCTATGTTACAAAAAACTTAAAATGTAGAAAAGCATAGAGGAAAATAAAGCTTTTCAAAAGTCTTATCTATCACTTTAAACACGCAGCCCAACTCTTTCTCCTGTATGTTACATAGACAGATGCAGAAATACATGCATGTGTGCGACAGTTCCATCGCGGGTTCAGCAGTTGGCTCAAAATTGTGCCCCTCACTAGGCAGCTCACTCTGAGAAGGTGGGGCTGTCGCCCAACCCGTCATCCACCCACGGGCACTGGAGTGTCAGCAGGGAGCCAGCAGCCCTCAGTGTTTACATTGGCAGCAAAGGAATACATCAGTGGGCGTTCCTTACAAAGATAACATTATCCAAGGGAAAAGGAAGCCCATGGGTTTGTGAACATTTGAAAAAATCCCCAGCTTGATCCACAAGGGAAAGGACACACACTAAATCTACACAGGCACACTTATCAGATTGGCCAAGATCCAGAGGTTTGGTACTCAGGGGGAACTGGGGGCAGGGAGGACAGAGGGCAGTCCCTCACGTGTCACCGATGAGAGTTTAAATTGGTACAATGTGTGTGAGAGGGCAGTGAGACAGGCCTGATGAAATGTACATACCATCGGACTCAGCGATTCCACTCCCAGGGATTTATCACACAGATATGTGCAAAAATGATTAATACCAGGTTATAGATTGCAGCTGTTTGTAATCGTTTTTGTAAAGGAAAGACTAAATCCCTAGCAGTAGGGCAAATTAAATAAATTATTTTACATCAGTGTGACCAGGACTATGTGGCTGGCTTTTGGGTTTTTTTGTTTGGAGGCATAGCCGTGCAAAGCTATACATACTTGTAATCCCAGCTACTTGGGAGGCCGAGGCAGAAGAACCAAATTTGAAGCCAGCCAGGGCAACAGAGCAAGACTCTATCTGAGAAAGAAAAAGAGAGGAGGGAGGGTAGAAAAAAGGGGGGAAAAAAGAGGGAAAGGATAAAAGGAAGGGGGAAGAAAGGGGGAGAGAAAGAAAGAAATTTTGTTTTTTGTTGTTGTTGCTTGTTTGTTTGTTTGTTTGTTTTTGCAGAACCGGGGATTGAACTCAGGCCCTTGCACTTGCCAGTCAAGCGCTTATTCTACTGAGCCATCTCTCCGGCCCCAAGAAATTTTGTTTTATAAATAGTTTTTGCAGGTTGATGAGATAGCTCAGTGGACCAGGTGGACAACCTGAGCCGACCACTGAGTCTGGATATGGTGGTGCATGCCTGTAATCCCAGTGCTGGGGAGGCTAAAAACAGGAGGATCACTTCAAGTCCAAGCTGCTTAGTGAGACTCTGTATCAAACATTAAAAAAAAAAAAAAATGTCAAAAACCATAAAGTAGAGCTAGGCACAAGGACACAATCCTGTAATCCCAGCTACTCAAGAGGCTGAGGCAGAAGGTTCAAAATTTCAAGTGAGCTAAGTAGATGAAAGCAAAGTCAAGCTGCAAAGGGGGCTTGTGATAGCCCTGATCCTAGACAGTCTTCTGGCCATGTGTTAAGGAAGCAGTAAGAAGAAATTATAGCCAGAGAGCGTTCAAAACAGCTACCAGAACACGGCCCCCTTCTACTGAGAATTTCTCCATTACTTTCAGCTGGATAAAGACCCAGAGGGACTGTGTGGTCTGGAGGTCCAGCTCGTGGCCGCCGCGTCGGCTCCA